TGTCCAGTTCCAGAACTCTTGACAACCATGATCAGACACTAAGAAGTGGCTGGGGCTTGGGTCAAAGGAAGCCAGGCTTGTGAAAGAGCCTGGACTTGTTTTTATACTGTGGATGGAGGTGGAAGTTTCTTTTCATTGACTCTCTTTGAGTGTCACATGTCAGAGGCACAGTCTGGGGACATGCTCCATGGTGGTGGCTTGAGGAAACCTGGGACTCTCAGTCCTGCCCGCCTGCTCTGGTTTGGGAATGCAAGGGGCTCAGGCTCAGCATTTGCCCTGGAATGTGGGCAGACCGGCCCCTGGGTCCTCTCCCTCTCTGGGCAGTGAGCTAAAAGGCCTGTTCTTAACCCCCTCGGGGCTGCAGACCAGTGCTCCCACCCAGGCCACCCACCCTGGCCTAAGGACAGTGCTCAGCTAGGTTGTTGGGGTGAGGGTTTCCCCCTCCGCCCCCCCCAGTCTCCTTGTCCAAAACCCGCTTACTGCTAGGGACCAAGCAGACAGGGAATGGGGTTGCACCTCCTCCCCCACGCCCACCCCCCAGTTTGCAGAGGTGCTGGCTGCGAGGGGATGCATCCAGTGGGTCTTGGGAGCCCTGCAAGTGCATAAGTCTTGGTTGCACCTTCAAATGATTTTGTGCTTTGGTCAGGGGCCGCAGGCTTAGCACCCAGACCACCTTGCGCTGCTCCTCATAGCCTGCCCAGTTTCTCGTATTCAGCCAAGCTTCCTCGGCATTGAGACTTCCCCCGTGCACTCACAGCCAGGGGCTCCCGGGTCTTCACTGCTTGAAAATTCCCTGACTGCGCGAGGGTGACTGCTGTGATTGCTCGGGGGTTACCTTCGGTGACTCCCTGGCTGGGACTCGGCGGGCCAATAGCGCCCTCTGGCGGGAGGCAGCGGCCGGCTCGGGTCCCTTCATGGCCAAGTGCCTGGTGGCTGGGTGGCTTTATCCCTGGTCAGCTGGACTCATTTGCACCCAGGCTGTGCTTGTCCTCCTCAACCCCCCCCCCCGCCCCAACTCACCCCCCAGAGAACACACAAGTTGGATGGGCTCATCCAAGGATCTCGGCTTTCCTTCAGTGGGTGGAAGTGAAGCGCCAGGGCATGCATCAGCTGACTCAGAAAGGAGAGGTCTGCAGAAAGGAGGGTGGCTTCCCCAGAAAGAGGAGGGGAACCCCCCCCCCACCCCAGGAGAACTTCCTTCTCCAGCATGACTTAGGAGGTCTAGTACTTGGGAGTCTCAGATCTGAAGCCAGAAATCTAGTTGTGGAGAAGCGAGGAAGTCTGAGGCCTGAATGGAGCCCCGACTGATTCAGATACTGCTTCTGCGTATCTGGGAGCATCCCCCAGACATGTGGAGAGAAGGGGTCTTCCAGTGGGTACCATTTTCTCTGCCATATGAGTAGAAGGATTCGCTGAGCCTGCCCCTGGGGTTTTTAAAGCTGGGTGCGAGGGACTCTCTGCAGTTGAAAACAGAAACCTCCCCTCAGCCTTACCTCTGCTGTCTCTGTTTGCTCAAGCAGGGGAGGAGTTTGCTGAGCTTGCAAGGAGACTTTGGCCTGTAACCATTTACAGCTGGTGGGGAGAGTGCAGCTTCTGCCTCCGTAGGACCAGGAATGGAGGTCGCGGTGCCGCCTCCTATAGTCCTGGGTCTCTTCTCTAAGGTGTCTGGAGGACAGTGACACTGAGTCTTGCCCAGTCACTGAGCCGAGACTAAGGAGAGAGGACACCAGAGACCCCGCTGTATGGCCTTGCTCATGTATGGCTCTCATGGAAGCAAAAGTTTGGAAAGAATTGGAAAATGATGCACCTTATCCCTGATGTCCACACAAGTTTCTCTTAGGGTGTCACTTTAGTGTGCAGCTTTTTCTTTCAATGTTGTCCATATATATTTATTTAAGATTTATTTATCCATGCATACAAGAGCTGGGGTGCAGGCCACAGATGCAGTGGGTGAGAGGATTCACCAGAGACAGAGTGGGGAACAGAACAGGCAAATCTACTGAGATACACTGCTGAGGGGAGCAGCAGGCGAGACAGGAGAGGTCTGCTGTGCCATGTGGGTAGCTCCCTGCCCGGTGATCAAACTCGTGCTGCAGTGGCTGCGGATAGCTTCACAGTGCTGAGACTTAACACCAGGGAGGGCTGGTCCTTTTCATATCTTGCCCACTTCCTGCCCATAAAAGACTTAGGAGGGGAAGCCAGTGCTTCGCATCCCACTCTGATCTTGGAGGGAAATCTTTTTCTGAATTTCACAAAGAAAGCGAGATCTGCTGTTTGCAGCTTCCTATGTACTAGAGCATCGGCTACCCCATGTCAACCTCACACCAGTGTGAAATGGAAATTAGGAACCCCCGGGTTTCCGAGGAAACTGAGTGATTTGCTGTGCGGCTGTGGATAGTATCATGAAGGAGCTGGGACTTGAACTCAGGTCCGGCTGGACTCCAACCTTGTGATCTTTTGCCCCCCCGCCCACCACGATTACTTCTTTTCATAAACTTGAAATCATAAACCAGAATCATTAAAAAAATATATATATGAAAAGGACAACCTTGAAAAGAAAAACTGAGCAATAAAGTAAACCCTTAAACCATTCTTAGAGTAGGGTTAGAGTGAGGGGGTGAAGGTGTTTGATGCAGAAAGCAGTGCGGTCCTGACTCAGAAGGTTTGATGGGGAAGGTTGACCACTACTGAGGATTTGGGGCCCCACAGACCAGAGCCCCAGATCCCAGCTCTGTCACTGAGACAGCTGCGGCTGTGTGGGGACATGACTCTGGATGCCAGTGTGGTGAGGGAAGTAGTGAAGCTCCCGAGGAGGTATGTGCTGGCCATTCTGGCCAGAAGCTGCTCCTGCTGTCCCTGTTGGGGCGGTGCTTGTGGCCTGCTTGGGGAACCGCGGGCTCTGACCATATTGGAGGAGGGATCCTGTCCCGTTGGTCTGGGCCCAGAGGAAATGGAATACTGTTTGAAACCAAGGCAGCAGGTGTGGCTGTGCAGAGGCCACTGGGATGGGCCCTGGACACCAGTTCCTTTTCCGCTGTTACCTAGCCACACACTGACTCCCTCTACGTCCGGTTTGCTAGAGACAGGAAGCCAGACCTCTTCCACACCACCCGGAGCGGGCGGGGGCTACAGGAACTGTGCTTCCTCGGAAGCCAGGAAACCTGTGCTGGCCGTTGGCCCCAAGCCCTGCACCTTGGAATCAGTTTCCCCTCTGACCAGCTGGATAGGAGCCTGGGTAGGCGTGGCCAGCCAGGGAGATAGGAGGTGAAGCTGGGTAGGAGGGCTGGCAGCTGGGAAAAGGTGTGGGCTTGCAGACCAACACCCTGGGCAGGGGCCTTGCTTGCCTTTTCCAGGCAGGGTGGGATTGGGCTGGAACCATGAGGAACAATCAGATTGACAGGCCCTCGGGCTCGGACTCCAACATTCAGGAAGATGTACTGTTTAAATATGGCATCATCTGGGACCTCCCTGGTGGCGCAAGGGGTTAAGTCTCAGCATTGTGACACTATCCACACCTACTGCAGCACAACTTCGATCCCTGGACAGGGACGTGACCCATATGGTGCAGCAGACCTCTCCTGACTTGCCCGCTGCTCCCCTCAGCAGTGTATTTCAGTCAATCTGCCTGTTCTGTTCCCCGCTCTGCCTCTGGTGAATCCTCTCACCCCCATACCTCTGACCTGTACGCTGGTTTTTGTATGCATAAATAAATAAATCTTTAAAAAAAAATGGCATTATCTTGTGATCACAGCAACCTCTTGCAGGCCAGATTTTCGGGGTTTGGAGCTTTGAGGAGTCCATCAGTCCTGTCACTCAGCAACTTAGGAGCAAGTCCATTACTTCTCGCTCACTGTTTCCCCATCTGTAAAGGGAGGCTCAGAATTCTGACTTCATGGGGTGATCGAGGGGTTAACTGAGACCATGTATGGTATGCAGAGTGCCTCGCATGGTGCTGGTTGCCAGTAAGTGGCAGTAAATGCAGCCGCTGCTGGTGATGAATCTTATCCTGGGGCTGGAGAATCAATATTTCCTGACCCCCAGCAGGTCACCAGGGAGGTGAGAGTGAGCAAGACTGTGAGTATGGCAGGAATGAGGGTGTGACTTCTGGGGCCGACCCTCTGGGATGTGGGGCTGTTGAGGGTCCCAGGTGGAGAAGAATAAGGAAGGAGGGGGGTTCTGCCCCTGCCTCTTCAGCACTATCATTCTTGTCTGGGGACCGGGGAGTTTCAGGCCCCACTGTTGGCTGCCCAGTGCCAGGATAATGGAAACATACACTTCAGGGCCGATTCGGCTCCCTTGTTGCTGTTAAAGGAGAATAGTGGGGCCCTGCAGCCTCTGGGGCCAGGCTGCTTGCCAGGCTTCTGCAGAAACAGCCTACAGAGCAGTCTGTCCCACCCTCGGCCAAGGAGGTGGGAACACAGCAGCAGCCTCCTTCCACCCTCGTCTCCCCGTGCACCTTGCCTTGTAGCCTGGAACCCCCGGAGGGGCTTGGAGCCTGGGGTTCTGCTTCTACCTGGTGAGGGACCGCTCCAATCTGGAGACTGAGACAGTCCAAGTTCTTGGAAATGAAGTGGGGCCTGGCACTGCCCGGGCCCCTCCCTGTGTGACGTGGGGCCCCTCCCGCCTGTTCTCTCTGCCTTGCCCTGCGGAGTCAGAGTTCCAGGCAGGCGGTTCTGACTCCCAGCCAGTCAGCTGCACAGCCCTGTCGGGAGGGAACGCAGAGCCAGGGGCCTGACTCCCAGAGGTAGGAGAGCCCCACGGGCAGCCCTAAGAGCCCCAGAGCCAGCACCTCCAGTTCTGGCCTTGCAGGAGAGGTCAGTTGTGGGGCCTGGTTCCCAGCCAGGCTGGTAAGGGGTGTTATCTTCCTGTCCCGAGGCTGGTCATTTCTTCCCTGGGTGGGGCAGGAGCTCAGTCATTGACTCCTGGGTGCAGGCAGGGCGTGCAATGCAAATAGAGAGTTGCCAGGATCCCTGAGTCTTACCTGCGTCTTTTCTTTACAGACGCCCTGCTGGCAGATTTGGAGTCCACCACCTCCCACATCTCCAAGCGGCCCGTGTTCTTGGCGGAGGAGACCCCCTACTCATACCCGACTGGAAACCACACGTACCAGGAGATTGCTGTGCCGCCCCCTGTCCCTCCACCGCCGTCCAGCGAGGCCCTCAATGGCTCGATCCTTGACCCCTTAGACCAGTGGCAGCCTAACGCCTCCCCATTCATCCACCAGCAGGTAGGGTGGGGACCAGAGCTGGGGAGCCCCCTGAGGCTTTGGGGTAAAAGAAACTTGTCTAGCTGGGCTTAGGGTGCCAGGGGAGAACTGGGGTCAGGGCCACAGTGAGACGGGCAGGAGATGTCCGACTCTTCCCCACCAGACGCCACGTGAGGGGGCGGTGACCAGTGTTTAATCACCTGTCTCCCGACCCGCTCGTGGAAATTCCCTGGTGAGATTGGCGGTGAGCTGGAGCCTCCTGGGAGTGACTGGGCTGTTCCTTTCCCTCCCTGGGGGGGCCTCTGAGCATTCTCCTCCCCTCAGCCTCAGTCCTTGTCACCCGTCTACGGCTCCAGTGCCAAAGCTTCCAGTGCCTCCATCCCGCAGGACAGCGGGGGCTCTCCGTGTGCCCGAGCCAGCGAGGAGGAGCACGTCTACAGGTACCCTCCCTGCTCCGGCCCCTCCTGCTCGGAAACCCTGGGGCCCAGCGAAAGCAGACCCGGCAATGTGTCCTAGGGGATCTGCCTCAGGATTCACTGGGTTAAACCACAGAGGCTCTGAGGTTTCTGGCCAGCTGGTCTTGCCTCTCACCTCTCTTGCTCCTTGGCCTTATCTCGGCCATCGCCATGCAGCGGATGGGCTGGGCTGTTACGTCACCCATGGAGTGGAGGAACTGAGGCAAGACTTCCTCCCTCCCCCTCTTCTTACCACATCCCTTCCACACTCTGTCCTCTGCGGGGGGAGACCTCCTATCTCCTCTGCTGCTTCTCCTTCAGAACTTGGGGTCAGTGTCCTTCACTGTTGTTTTCCCTCTGCCTCTGGAAGCTTCCCCAACAAGCAGAAGTCAGCTGAGCCTTCACCCACTGTGATGAGCTCCTCCCTGGGCAGCAACCTCTCTGAACTCGACCGCCTGCTGCTGGAACTGAATGCCGTGCAGCAGAACCCCCCAGGCTTCCCGGCAGGTAGGACTGGTCCCCGTGGGGGGACCTGTGGGACCCCAAGCCCACCTGTTGGCCTCTGGATCCCTGGAGGGGTGGGTGCCTACCATCCTCTCTTTCTCCCTTTCTCAAAGATGACGCCAACTCCAGTGCCCCACTGACTGGGGCTCTGAGCCCCCAGTATGGCATCCCAGAGAACAACAGCCTCCTGGGGGGCAAAGCTGGGCCCCTGACGAAGGAGAAGCCCAAGCGGAATGGGGGCCGGGGCTTGGAGGACGTGCGGCCCAGCGTGGAGAGTCTCTTGGATGAGCTGGAGAGCTCCGTGCCCAGCCCTGTGTGAGTATCCACTGAGCCCCCCAGCCCTTGTCTCTGCCCACTCAGCCCTGGTGCCGTCTGTCCCCCCGTTATTGCCCAGGTCCTGGACTGGGCAGCGGGGGATAGGGTGAGCCTGTGGACACCACCCCTGCCGGCAGCGAGTCCCCATCCACCTGACCATGTGGGTGCTGTGCACATGGAGGGCGACAGGCTTCAGAGCCGCACGATCCTGGCCCTCCCCGGGTGTGCCCACCGGAAGTGGACTGAAGGGCGACGTGGTTGTGAGGACAGGGCTGCCGGCTCAGTCAGGGTGAGCCCCAGGGCTGCAGGCAGCACGCTGGGCGTGGGCGCCGAGTATAGCACATGGACACCTGCTCAGAGCTCCATGAACATCACGTCTTGTCAGAGCTGCCGCGTCATTGGCCGGCGTCCTGTGCACACAGTGTCATGCAGAGGCAGCGCGCTCGCTCTTGATTAGTAGAGGAGCTGGAACCTGGCTGGGAGGGCCAGAGGTGTCTTCCAGGGAAAGGGGCCTTTCGTACTGCCCTTTCCTCTCCCAGGTCAGCTCACTCAGAGCCCCGTCCCTGGCTGACAGCGGCCTCCTCCTGGGGTGGGGGGGGGTGGTTCCCAGGAGAGAGTGGGAGCAGGTAGGCTTCCCCAGGACCCGGGGTGTTGAGAGCCCAGCATGAGGAGGCCACAGCCACTCTGGGGGAACACGGTGCTGAGTACCGGGGGCCCCGCTGATGCAGTGTCTGCCCTGCAGCCCCGCTATCACTGTGAACCAGGGCGAGGTGAGCAGCCCGCAGCGAGTCACCTCCAGCCAGCAGCACACGCGCATCTCCGCCTCCTCCGCCACCAGGGAGCTGGACGAGCTGATGGCCTCGCTGTCGGATTTCAAGGTGCCCTGCGGTACCCCCCTTGCCCTGCTTGCTCCTGAAGGGTGCCCCATCCTTCTCATATCAGTGTGGTAGCTGTGACTCAGCCCTTCAGTCTTGGGGTGCCGAGACCTGAGCCAGGGACCCTGCAGCATGTTGGCCAGGATGCGGGGGCCAGGCTGGGGTATGTGGGGACCAAGCTGTCTGCGGCCTGTGCAGGCAGAGAAATGCTCAGCAGGGACATTCCTTCCTCCCTGGGCTCCCAGCCTCCCAGCGGAGAATCAGGAACCTGGGACAAAGGGTCCTGTGTTGAGGCTGCCCCGAGGGGGAGGGCATCTCTGCTGGGCCATGTGGGCCGTGGGCCTGTGTCAAGGGGTCATTCGCCCTGGCGTCCCACCGCCCACACTGGCTGTCCTCAGCATGTCTTCTTTCTTTCTGCCTCTGGCTCCCGAGTCCCTCGCCAGCCTCCCACTCTCCCTCCCCAGGCCTCTGAGTTCCCCCTAGTTCAGGCTATGGGACACCCAGCTAGGCTGCCGGCTTAGTCTGGTCCTGCAAGTACCCCTTGCTGCCTGCCCCCACTTCCGGGTCTTCCTGGGCTGCCAGAACCATGTTTTATTTAGAGGATGCAGTGCTCCGGTGGATTGATATTGACAGGACTCTCCAGCAGTTGCTGACTTTTCCCTTCCACGTGGGGAGCCCCCTGGGGCCCGCTGAGGGAATAGGAGAAGGGGAGCCAGCTGTCCCTGCACTCAGGGCCCTGATGGGGCCTCTTAACTTCCTTTTAGCTGCCTTTCCGGATGGGGGCACAGAATATGTGAATGGGGCTGGGGGAGAGGCCGAGCCGGGGCTTACGGCCCAGACGTGCTGTGATTATGGCCCCACACAGGTCAGCTGGACTCACACGTTGGCCTGAGGAAGCCCTGCCCTGTGCCCAGTGGGCTGTTGCTTTCTTGATGCTCTGCTAGAAGCCGCACTGGTTCTAGCTGTGCCCACCGAGCAAGGTCTTGGGGGGACATAGAAAGTGGCCTGAAGAGACAGAGCCCAGATTTGAATCAAGCTCGGGGGGCAGCTATATGAGGCTTAGTCTCCCTTGATGGTGCTGGGCTGCCTTGTCTCCCTTGTCTCCCTTGTCCACGCCACCCTGGCCTCCTCTGCCTCGTGCCTTCTGACAGGGAGGCCTCCCAGGCTCAACTCAGGGGCTGCTTTCTGCTGCCTGGGTCCCATGGGCCCAAGGATGTGGGGCTCAGGAAAATATCTGGGGGGAGTAATTCCCTTGCTTCAGCTTCGCAGCCCTCTCGGTCAGTGTAGATGGTGCCTCTCAGCGCTCCAAGGCTGAGCCCCCCACACAGGGAACGTCCTCACCTCGCCCATCTCTCTCTCCTCTCTCCTCTGCCTTTTGTCTTTCTCCTCTTCCAGACCAGCTCCTCTGCTGTGGCCTTAAGCTCCCTGGGGCTGCTGCCCAGTTCAGCGCCAAGCCCAGACCGAGCACCTCCTTCTCCTCCTCCTGTTCTCTTGCCATCCACTACTGTACCCTCGTCTCCAGGCCCCAGTCATGCCCTGGAGGTCCTCGGCATCAAGGATGAGGATAATGGACAGGGCCTCCCATCTCCTGAGGCCCCCAGCTGGCTTGATTTAGCTGGCCTAGGGTTGATGGCTGAAACCCCCAACTCAGGGGCTCCCTCTGGGGAGGGTTCCCTGGGGCCATTGGGTACAGAGAGCCAGGCTCAAGTTTGCAGGGACTTACCAAACCTCAAGAGTGAGGTCTCCAGGGCGCCCCTCTGCCATACTCTGCCCCCAGCTGGGTGCACAGGGCCCCAGGAGCCTGGAGACCCCCAAGGGCCGCCAGCCCACCCTGTGCGCTCAGAGGAGGCTGTGGCTGCCACGTGGGAGCGGCCATGGAATTTGGAGGTGATCAGGCCCGAGACTCCCCACGGAGCTGTGCCTGGCTTCCAGGAAGTGACCGAGCCAGCTATCGTGGCTGCGGACCGGCAGGCCGTCTTCCCAGACACCTGGAGTCTCACAAAGGAATATGAGCAGTTCCAGAAAAAAAGGGCAAGGCCAGAGCCAGTGGGGCCAGAAAGCAACCGCCCTGCCCCAGGTGATGAGGAACAGTTAGGAGGCGAGATGCCCGTGAGGGGGAGTCTGGTAAGGCCAACCCCGGGACCCGACACTCCCAAGAGGTCACAGGGCACCACTGACGCTGCCACCGAGGCTGAGAGGGAACAGCCGGAGCTTCCACCAGCCACGGTCATGGACACACCCACCGCCACCGAGAGGATTTCCACCGCTGGCCAGGCAGGCGCAAGCTCATGCGGCGGCGGCACGGCCCTCAGTGGCCTGAGTGTGGCCACTCCTGGCTAACTGCATGCAGCCTCCCACTCCGCGCATGTCTGCTTGGGCCGCAAATCCCGAGATGCGTGGCTGTGACCCCGACGATAGGCCCTCGGTGGTGGGCTCTGTGGGCTGCTGGAGCTCCAAGGGCCCTGGAATCTTTCTCAGCGAAGCCCCCTCTTGCTTGTTAAGGCTTTTTCCTTTGGATGAGCCGTCCCTGGCACCCTGGAGGGATGTGTGCCAAGCAGTTACAAGCATGGGCTCTGGAACCTGATGGAACTAATTGCAACCATACCTCCAGCACTTGCTACCAACATGACCTGGGCAGCCACCCTCAGCCTCAGTTTTCTCATCTTTAAAATGGGAGTGACAATAGACTACCACAATAGTAACAATAGACCTGCCACGGTTGTCCAGAATTAAGTGAGATAATGCTGGAAAGCGTAGAGAAGGCAGCAGTGAGCTCAGCCGGGGCTGCTGCTGCGACTGTTCTTTGCTTCTTGCTTGATATGGCCTTTATGTCCCTCCTGAAAAGAAACAACAACAAATCAAAACCACTGCACACAGGTGGGCGATCATGTAAACAAAAAACAGAAAAACTGGGTTAAGTGATTCCTGGAAGGAAAGACTGCATTTTTCTGTTGCAAATCAAAAGGAACAAAGCAGCCAAAGCAAAAGAGAGAGAAAAAGCCCAAGTCCTTTCAAGAGTGTCCATTTACACCCCCAGATACTCCTTGTGGGGAAGCCTGGAAGGGAGCCAAGAAAATACACCCATTCTGAGGGTGGGGAAAATGAGGCCAGCGGAGGTTAAGGGCTTGCCCAGGGTCACTGCCACCTTGGCGATGGGCTCTGGGTGGAGGGCGTCTGCTTGGGCCCCGCCACCTCCCCAGCTAGGCTTGGCTCTACTCTGGTGGTCTTGTTCTGCCCTGCCCTCCCCGGTGCCTGAGTGTGGACTGCGCTCCGCTGAGCCCAGAGTGGGGCTGTGACGCCTTCCCCCTCCCCCTCAGATCCGCTCTGTGATCAGGAGGAGCCGGGAGACGGGCCACGCACACCCCATGTCCCGGGAGCCCTCCCCGCGCCGCCGCCTGGACCCCGCCGCCCTGAGCAGGACCCCATCCCAGGAGCGGCTCCTCACAGAGCTGCAGGGGCGGCTGGGCATCCGGCCGGAGGCGGAGGAGGCCGAGGGGACGGTGGGGGCCTCTGCCGAGGACTGGCTGACCGAGGGCGTCGTCATCACCGTGCAGCCGCGCGGAAGGCGGGCTGGGGGGCAGCTTGTAGAGAAGGTAGCCAGGAGATGCCAAGGGCTGGGCCGGGCCTCGGGCATCCTGTTCCTCCCCGGGCCCCAGCGCTGGCTGGAGGGGCTGCCTGGTGTTTGGTGTGTGAGGGGGTCCCACAGCCTGTGGCCTGAGGAGACTGACCTCCGTCTCGGAGTCACCGCGGGAAGGCCCCGGGGGCTCTGGGGACATCACCTCCCGGGCCCCTTGCTCGCCGGCTGCTGTTTCCTCTTTTGTCTTCACTCTCTCCCCGCTTTCTCCTCCCCAGGTTGTCTTCCCTCCCGGCTCTCCCATCCCCCAGAGAAGAACCGTCTCTGTCCTGGCTTCTCTTCCTCCTCCTGTCCCTTTGCTCCAGCATCACAAAGACACCTCAGCCGGCAGCTCTTCTCCCCTGCCCTGCCCGCCCGGCCCCTCTGCCCAGGGCCCCCTGGATGTCACCCGTGGCTCCTCTGGGGTCCAGAGCACGGGGGCAGAGCCTTGGAAAGGTGGCTCCCAGGGCCCCTCCCGTCTCACTGCTGCGCCCCACACTGTGAGGTCCGTGGGCTGCCAGACGGAGGAGGACCCGCTCTTCCCCCCAATGCAGGCAGGCCTCTGGGACCCAGCGCCAGCCCTGCCTGTCTCTTTTGTGAGCTGCGTTCCTCCCCTGCACACATGGGCAGGGGTGCACCTCCGGCCCCTCCGCCCTCTGTCCTCGAGTGCCCAGCACACACCCCCACAGTCCTTCCCTAAACCAGGCCTCCACCCTGGACCCCTCAGCTGCACGTCCACTCCCCCACTCCCTGGGAGGTCCGCGGCCCTCTTGCTTCCCTGTGGGACTCGACCTCCCTGCCCCTGCCCGCTGCCCCTCCATCTTGCTGTTCCCAGGAAGGGAAACCCACACTGCTGCCCCCACCTCCAGACCCAGAACCCCTTGAGGCCCCTGCTCCCTGGCCTGTTACCGCCCTGTGTCCTGTGCCTCCGGTTGGCCCTCCACCCTCTCCATCTGCCCCTGGGCCTCTCTCTCTCTCTCTGGGTTGTCTTCCCTCTGGATGGCCCCTGTCCTCCGATGTTGGTGATGCCAGTCAGGGGAAGAAATCCTCATCACCCTAAATTCCCTTTTGTGAAATGGTCCAGTAACAAGGTCTCTTGTTCTTCATGCATTTTCAAAAGCATTTCTCATACTGGCTTCCTCCCCTATCTAAGCTCCAGGGCCTGGAACAAAGAGCGGATGGGGAGCTGTGCGGGGCGGCCGGCTGGCCTCCGAACGGCAGGCAGAGCAGTCCTGAAGGGCAGGACCAGGGAGGGGTCAGTGCCGAGTGTCTTGCTTGCCGTGTTCTCCCAGGGCCTGTCAGGTCGCGGGGCCCATGAGCCCGTCTCTCTGACCGTGTAGAGCCCTGTGACCCCCGCTAGAGCTCTGGAGGCCCCCAGGAGGTTGCAGTTGTTGCCTCATTCAGCCCACCTGTCCAGGAGGGGGACAGCCCTGGTTCTGGGGTGCCTTGAGCCGGTGTGATGTTCTGACAGGCCCTCTCTCTTGTCTCCACAGATCATGAACCAGGGGAGGCCGGGGAGCAACTCCCCTCCTGGGGGACCCCCAAAGCCTGGGAGCCAGCTCGACAGCATGCTGGGGAGCCTGCAGTCTGACCTGAACAAGCTGGGGGTCGCCACAGTGGCCAAAGGGGTCTGCGGAGCCTGCAAGAAGCCCATCGCCGGGCAGGTAAGGAGGGCGGGGGCGGGGCAGGGCGGAGGGGCAGGTGGGCATGGCGAAGGGTGTTCCGTGGCAGGTGGCACCTGAGCCACATCCACCTCCTGCCCCAGGTCGTGACCGCCATGGGGAAGACGTGGCACCCGGAGCACTTCGTCTGCACCCACTGCCAGGAGGAGATCGGGTCCCGCAACTTCTTTGAGCGGGACGGGCAGCCCTACTGTGAAAAGGACTATCACAACCTCTTCTCCCCGCGCTGCTACTACTGCAACGGGCCCATCCTGGATGTGAGCTCCTGGGGCCTGGCGGGGCGGGCGGCCCGCTGAGGGTGCCGGGGGTTGCTGGAGGCTCAGAGCGGTCACGTCAGACCCGAGCTGCACAGCTAGGAAACAGTGGGGCGGGGTTCAGACCCCACCCAACGCACAGCCCATCCTCCCTCCCTCCTCCGTCCTGAGTCCCGGCGGCAGAGGCTCCCTCGCTGTCCCGCTGTGTGGTGTTAGGGAAGCACCCCGCTTCTCTGAGCCTGCTTCTTCACTTGAGAAACGGGAGCCACCGTAGAGCCCATGACCTGACCCCACGTGGGGTTTAAGGCGAGTGTGTCTGGCACGTGACAGTCTTCACTCACTGGATTCTCGGTGGTGTCCAGAGCAGTCAGGGGTCACCCTGGTCTGGGCAGTATTTTGCCTTTTCCTTGGAGGGAGCGGGCAGGACAGCCTTGCCTGTGAGTGTCTCTGACCCCACACTCTGCTTCCACAGAAAGTGGTGACAGCCCTTGACCGGACGTGGCACCCCGAGCATTTCTTCTGTGCCCAGTGCGGGGCCTTCTTCGGCCCTGAAGGTACTGACCACTGGCTGGCTTATCCCCCCACACCCCAGGGAACAGTGGGGTGGGCCTGGAGACTTTGGGATGTGGGTGTTGGGTGCTCCAGCTCTGGGGGCTATAACTCTGCCTCCCACACTCCCTGTGCTCAGGATTCCACGAGAAAGACGGCAAGGCCTACTGTCGGAAGGACTACTTCGACATGTTTGCGCCCAAGTGCGGCGGCTGTGCCCGGGCCATCCTGGAGAACTACATCTCGGCCCTCAACACCCTTTGGCATCCTGAGTGCTTTGTGTGCCGGGTAAGGAGCCCCCCACCTCCTGACCTGAGGGTCTGGGATCGGGCAGTGGGGAGAGATGCTCACTCTATGTTCTGGGCCCGACACGGTGACTCATTTGGGGTCATCAGTGGAATGAGCAGGCAGCCCCCAAGTCCAGTAGGCCCTGGGCCAGGGCTCGTCCTACAAGGCAGACGTGTTCCCCAGCCTCGTCCTTTGTGGTCACCTTGGGACTGGTCATATCTGGGGAAAAGCGTGTGCGAATGAAATGCAGGATTTAGCAGCCTCAACAGAAATAGGCATGATTTTCAAGCTGCATTCTAGGAGGGAATGGGAGACCCCAGGTCCAGTTACTGGGAACCCAGCAAATGTTCTTGATAAATAAGTTTGGGAAACTCTTCACTGCAGGACTTGTCAGAGCCTTTGCTACCAAAGCATGCATGGGTGTTGGGATACGGTCTGACCACAGGACCCTTCCTACAGCACTGGGGTTTCTGGGTACACTCTACAGCCACCATGGTGCAGTCTGGTTGTGCATCTTATTACCTGTGTGACCCCGGGCAAGTCACTGGTTTCTAGGCCCAGGCCCCTCCTGTCGGGAGAACGCAGTGAGCCTCAGGCGCTGCCCTTGGCACCTAGGACATGCTTCGCTTAGCCGGGGGCATGGTGGGGAGTGGGCGACAGGCCCGTTGCCTGCCCATCAGGCCGGAGCTGCCTCGCCTGAGCCCCTTCCCACTGCCCGCAGGAGTGCTTCACGCCTTTCATCAACGGCAGCTTCTTCGAGCACGACGGGCAGCCCTACTGCGAGGTGCACTACCACGAGCGGCGCGGCTCGCTGTGCTCCGGCTGCCAGAAGCCCATCACCGGCCGCTGCATCACCGCCATGGCCAAGAAGTTCCACCCGGAGCACTTCGTCTGTGCCTTCTGCCTCAAGCAGCTCAACAAGGGCACCTTCAAGGAGCAGAACGACAAGCCTTACTGCCAGAGCTGCTTCCTCAAGCTCTTCTGCTAGGAGACTCACCCCTTCCCTGCCCAACCCGGCCCAGCCTCCCAGCAGCCGCTAGGACCCAGAGGCCTCACCCAGGGGTGAGGGGCAGACCTGACTGAAACTGGAACCTGCATCCTTGGCTGGTGCAGGATGGCAGGGGGGTGGCAAGGGGTCCCTCCTGCTTTCATTCACCCCTGCCAGAGTCTCTGGGCCTCCCACCTGCAGCTCTGCCTCGGCTGCTGACTCTCCATCCTCCTGGAGGCTGACCCACGTGTGTCCCCACGAGCCGCCTGGCCAGGCCTGCACCCCACACTGGAGCCATCTCTTACTCACATTTTGGCAGTGGAGCCCGGGGGGCGGGCAGGCAGGGTCATTTGGGGTCAGTTTATATCCTTACGTCTCTCCTGACCTCCTTATCCCTGTTCGAGTATGGAGCGGGCACCTGCTCCCTCCAGTCAATGCCAGCATAAATCCATCCATCCAAAGGCCCACGTGCCAAGGGCTGGGGAAGGTTCCTTGTGCTCCCCCTGCCCTCCCATTGCCCCTGGTTCTACTGAGAAAGCCTCTCCAGCAATAATGTTTTATAGTCACTTCCTCCGTCTCTGGGGGTGGTGTGAGGTGGTGGGTTTCACCCCATGCCTGGACACTGTACCGACTTTGATAGATTTCTACACTGAGGTTTGAATTCATATCGACTGAGTTGCTTTTACTCCTCTCTACAGTGATTTTGAAGAGATTTTAAAGATGTCCCTTTTTGTACTCTCCTCCTGGCCGCCGCCGCCGGTGACTGCAGCTGTGGTGTGGCGTTTGCCTTGTACTGAGGGCTTGGGGTGGGGAAGCAATTTGTATTTTATTTTTTCTTAGCACAAGCAGGTGAACTGGGAGCAGCTCTGTGACTCCCCTCCTTGACTTCACTGCTCACCAGGACTGTTTTGTAAACTGCTGTATTTTGGAAGCCCTTCCTTACTACCCAGGCCAGCAAGCTCTCACGGGCAGTTGGCCTAAGGGTATCTTGCCCTCTTGGGTTTAGAATTTCAAACCTCATCCACTGTGTTCCTGAGGGAGGAGAAGCGGAGAGGACACTCTGGGGGTGCTCTTTCTGGTCCAGTAAACCATTAGGCGCTTCCCCTCCTCTGTGAACTTTTTGGCAACAAAGAGAACCCACCGAACATTCTCAGCCTCCTCACTGCTTCTCTGGGGCTCTTTCTTCTGCCTTCTCAGGAAAGCTGGTGTCTGATTTTGACCTTTGGTCTAGCTGATTCCACTGGGCGCATCAGTTCCCCAAACTTCCTGCCCTCCCTGGAGACTGGGTACAGGTCCTTTCGCCTTTGTAGTTAGGACAACCTTGGGGCCTAGGTTGTCCCAAGGGGAACTGGATTTGGGGTAGAAGGATGGCGCCCTGAAGAAGCAACAAGGAGACCCCAGAGCTCTCTACCCCAGGGGTGAATAGGAGCAGGCAGGCCTGGGGTCTCTTGCCACCATGGGGTGGAAGCTGGAAGAGGCCAGATCACTCATCCTCATCGCAAAGGCTGAGTGTACTGCGCTGGGGCTCAGAAGAGGGTCCCGGGCTGGGAGCCCAGGTCTGGGGAGTTCAGCCAGGCCCCCCTGAAGGTCTGCTGTCTCCATCCACTTCCACCCATAGGCCTTACTGCTCTGTTTACAGTGACCTGCCCCAGATCCCTACCTGAGAGGGATTGGTGTCCCTGGGGTCTACTCTCTGGGTCAGTGATCATTTGATGATTTTATCTTAATTTTTCTCTGTAAACATCTAACCTGGCTTTTCCCTATTTCAATTCTTGTGATTTATGCCAATAAAGTTTGCCATTATTTTACCGGTGCTAGTAGTGCCTTTCCTTTGTGGTCAGAGATAAGAACTTAGTTCCAAAAGAGAGACCCTTCCCTCCCCAGACTCACAAGGAGCACAGTTTGAGGGTGAATTGTTGGGCAAAAAGCCTTGGGGATAACTCCTCCGAAGGTCACTTGTCAGGCCTCCCTAGTGGCCTAGGGGTTAAGTCTCAGCTCTGTCACTTGTGGTCTGGGTTCGATCCCCAGGGAGCTAACCCACATGGCACAGCAGACCTCTCCTGTCTCACCCACTGCTCCCCTCAGCAGTGTATTTCAGTGGATCTGCCTGTTCTGCGCCCCACTCTGTCTCTGCTGAATCCTCTCACCACCACCCCCTCTCCCCCCCCGCACCTCTGGCCTACACCCCAGTTCTTCTAAGCAAAAAAAAAAAAAAAAAAAAAAATCCTGAAAAAAACCAACCCAAAGCTCACTTGTCAGTGCTCGCAGACACTGGCTCCCTGTGTGAGCTCTGCTGTTCCCCAGCATTTGGTGAGGGAAGGCTGGGGATCACTGACATTGGGCCCGACCCCAGGCTGTCCCTGGGGATTCACTCAGGGCATCCTCGCTGGGGCCTGTGGGTGGCTAACTTACCCTCATTTACAGATAGGGAAAGGGATTCAGAGAGAAGAAACAGCACGCACAAGGCACTCCTCTGAGTGATTGCAGACAGGATGTGAACCCAGGGCTTGCCCTTACCTGTGTTCTTGCATTGACCAGACATGCCCACCCCCAACCCCAGGTGGGTTGGAGGCTCATCACCTTGGCACCTTCCAACTGAAGGTGGCAGACGGGTCGTTGAGTATGGGTCTCTACTGCCCCCTGGTGGTCGTGTTCATATTTGCATGCTTCGGCTGCTCTGGTCACAACCTGAAGCCTCCAGGACAGCTTTGTTCAGCCTTGAGCTGTGGCTTCTGTTTCCTATTGTTGGTCTTTCAAAAGCTGCATGTCGCATTTTAGTTTGAACCCTGACCATTTCACAGGGAGTTCAGAAGTGAAAATTACCTTCAATCTTTCCCCAAAGATAATGACATGATTTTTTTCCATGGATTTATTTTATTTGTAGAAATGGATATGGTATACTTCAGTGTAACTTGCTTTTTTCATTCAACCATACTTAGTATTTTCCCATGTCAATAAACATATATCTGCATCATTTTTTATATATTTTTATTTATTTATTTATTTTTTGTTTGTTTATTTATTTACTTATTTATTTGTACAAGCACTGGGTACAGTCAGAAGCACGGGAGGGTGAGAGAATTCACCAGAGCCAGAGCAGGGAGCAGAGCAGGCAGAAGGACCGAAGTACACTGCTGAGGGGAGCAGAGGGCGGCAGGAGAGGTCTGCGCGCCATGTGGGACCCTCCTCTGGTGGCCGGGGAGCAGCCGGGGATCGAACCGGTGCCGCAGAGGCTGCGGGCAGCTTCGCAACCCAGCGCTCAACCGCTGCGCCACCGGGGAGGCCCTGCATCATTTTTTAATGGCTTCATAGTTTTCCATTATATTGATGTACTACAATTAGATACAATATGTTTTTTTTAATCATCAAAGCCAGGATGTCCTTGGAAAGATCTGTGTGAGTTTGTATATACTTGGAAGTGCATTTAGAGGGAGCTAGCTTCAGGGCTTGGAGGGGACCATATGGCATAGTGAGACCCATGGGCTTCGAACTTGCTCCTAGAAGTACTTGCTTCTAGAAATTCGAAGCGATGATTTACTGGCTGAGCTACTTGGGCAAATTATTTACCCTCTTTGCATTTTCTTATCGATAAATGGGAAATACTGTACCTCCTCAGGGGGTTGTTGTAAAGATTAACAGTAGTAACGTGCACAGAATACTCAGCACATTGCTGAACGTGCAGTAATACCATGTCATTAAAAAGAGATCTTAGCAGTAATTGACTCCACCAGTTTTATGAACAGGCTGATCATCAAAGGCATGAGGAAACAAAACAAAATACAGAAATTCCTAACTTGGTCAAGTGAAAAGGGTAGAGCTAGGAAGAAACACCCCTTCTGTCCTAAGATCTAAGCTCAGTCATTAAAAAATATTTATTAATAGGGTGGAGGGCATGGAGCATGGAGGAAAATAGGGTATGGGCATGGATGGTTTGATGGAGGCAATAGAAATAATATTTATTGACATAGCATGATTGTTCAAATGTGAGTTAAGTGAAGATTTAATAAAAGAAGCTAATATTGAGTGACTTCCTCCTACATTCCAAGAACTGTTAAGTCTTAACACATCTTCAAAACAACTCTGTTACGAGAGTAAATGTTAAGATGCCCACTTTATAGATAAGGAAAGTGAAACAGGTGAAATCACTTTCCTAAGCTGAGTGAGCTGGCAAAGGGCACAAGGAAGTCGATGGCTACTTGATCACATATCCAGGTGGATCCAGGTCATCTGACTCCAAATCCTGCACTCATTCAAAAGATTGTTCTGAAATACCTACCATGTGGCAGGCACAGAGAAAAATGTTGGCCTTTGTGGAATTTGCTTTCTTACAGGGAGAGGCAAACAACAGTGTAGTAAGTTACATTCTGATAGAAGGTGTGTTGCTGAAAAAATAGAACCAAGTAAGGGGAGAGTGATTTTATTTTTTATTTTTTAATTAGTCAGTCAGGGTAGACCTCCTTGAGCAGATGATGTCTGAGGCCAGACTTGATGGAGGTAATTTACTTATGTGGCTATACCCAAAGAGACTTTCAGAAAGAGGGGCTAGTTTGTGGGAGCAGCGTCTGGCTGGAAGGGAGTCAGCAGGAAAACAGAAGATTATAAGGATGGAGGTAGGGCGCAGATCATGTAGGGGCTTGTGGGCAGCTTAAGTTTTAAACTTTTTACTTTGAATGGGGAGCCTTTCAAGAATTTTGAGCAAATGAAGAAATGCTCTTAGATTTTATTTATTTTTATTTATTTTTTAAAGAGAAGCACGGGAGGGTGAGAGAATTCACCAGAGCCAGAGCGGGGAGCAAAGCAGGCAGAAGGACCGAAGCACACTGCTGAGGGGAGCAGCGGGCGGCAGGAGAGGTCTGCGCCCCATGTGGGACCCTCCTCCAGTGGCCGGGGAGCAGCCGGGGATCGAACCGGCGCTGCAGAGGCTGCGGGCAGCTTCGAAACCCAGCGCTCAACCGCTGCGCCACGGGGGAGGCCCTTGTGTGTCTTCTTTTGGGAAGTATTTGTTCAATATTTTTGCCTATTTTTACTGGATTATCTTTTTCATTTTTAAAAGATTTTATTTATTTATTTATTTATTTGTTTTAAAGATTTATTTATTTATTTATTTATTTATTTATTTATTTATTTATTTATTTATTTATACAAGCACTGGGTATAGTCAGAAGCAGGGGAGGGTGAGAGAATTCACCAGAGCCAGAGCGGGGAGCAGAGCAGGCAGAAGGACCGAAGTACACTGCTGAGGGGAGCAGCGGGCGGCAGGAGAGGTCTGCGCGCCATGTGGGACCCTCCTCCGGTGGCCGGGGAGCAGCCGGGGATCGAACCCGCGCTGCAGAGGCTGCGGGCAGCCTCGCAACCCAGCGCTCAACCGCTGCGCCACCGGGGAGCCCCCGACTTAGATTTTAAAGGATTCCTCTGGTTTGGAGGGGGAAGAACAAACTGTTGAGACTAAAGATCATGCCACTTCTAAAACACGTGCTTTATTTCTCAACTCCACGTCATACTTACAGACCCGGGGGAAACTTGGACGCTCAGGGCGCCCGGATGCGGCTCCAGACCAGCAGAGGGCAGCAGCGCCGAGAGCGCGTCCCGGCAGGGTGCCGCGCCTTCCTTAACCATTGTCTTTAAAGGCAGTGGCGGCTTCTGGGGGGGAGTGGCAGTAATATTGCCCAATGGCTGCCTAGCTCTGCTCTCTGTCCCCGGCCAGAAGTGGGCGCCAACCAATAGCCGGGGACGCTGTCCGTGGCTTCTGATTGGCCGCTTCGCTCACATATAAAGGTCCACGCGGCGGCGCGGGCCTCTTCTCGCCAGGCGTCCTCGACAGAGGTTCGTGGCCCGCGGGCTGGTGTCGGGGCCGGGCGGCTGGAACGTTGGGGATTTTTCTCCTTGGGGTCGTAGGTTTTAGGGGCTCGTGGGGTCTCGGACCCTGGGTCCTGCGTCCTCGGCGGCGGTCCCAGGCCGGGGCCGGCTCTGCGTCGGCCTCGGCCTTGGGCCGCGCGCCCGGGCGCCTGAGCTGCTTCTCTCCCCGCAGTGACATCGTCTTTAAACCCCGCGTGGCAATCCCTGACGCACCGCCGTGATGCCCAGGGAAGACAGGGCGACCTGGAAGTCCAACTACTTCCTTAAGATAATCGTAAGTGCCGGGTGGGTCGCAGCCGCAGCCGCCCCCCTGCAGCCCCCACCCAGACAGTGATAAGGGGCCGCGCGCCGAGCGCCTTGTGGACGAAAGCCGCTGAGCAGGACTTTTCAAGGCAAATCTTCGTCCTCACGAGTTCCCGAGATCAGCACCCCCCCCACCCATGTAGGCCGACAGGTTAAGTGACTCTTAACGAGTTCCCGAGATCAGCCCCCACCCCCCCGCCCTTGCAGATAAACAGGTTAAGTGACTCCTAAGTGACAGCATTCATGCCCAGCTCTGCGGGCCAGCAGGCAGCCCTCATCATCATTTTGCTCTTCTGTCTCCACCTCGGGAAGGTCTGAGGCCATGAGTAACTCCGAGAGGCAAGTTGTTGCCTGTTCAGGTTGTGCCAAACTGAAGGTCCAGTGAAGGTTTTCTTTTGGGTGGTCGTGAAGTTGGTCTGTCTTGCTCTGGACCTTGCTGCCCTTCAGGCATTGTGGAGCTTAGTCGTTTATTTTCTCCTCTGTGAGGGTGTTCAGAGATGGTGAAAAGCCTGAGAATTGTAGCAGAGTTATAACGTAGTTACTACAAGGAACATTTTGCTATATTCGTTTTGTATTGAGTTTAAAGTGCTGTAAATGTAGCCCTTTGGTGTGCTTATTTTGAAGTTTCTTCTAGTAAGTCAATTTACTGAATTGAGAATGTTAAAGATGAAAATTAAGTTTTTTTGAGTGAATGTGGAGATCTGTTTTTCACTATTCATACCCAATGAACAAATCTTGAGCAAATCCTTCAGTGTTAAGACTGGTGGCTCCCAGTGGGAGGAGTCTTCCTACTCTCAGTCACTTAAACCATTGACGAAATGGGTAAGATGGAAACGGGAGATTGGGGGATTTTCTATTCTTTTTCCTCCCATTAAACTTGTGTCCCCCCCCCCCCGTTTTTTTCTTTTTTAAAGCAACTTTTGGATGATTATCCAAAATGTTTCATTGTGGGAGCAGACAACGTGGGCTCCAAGCAGATGCAGCAGATCCGCATGTCCCTCCGCGGAAAGGCCGTGGTGT